TGCCTTCCCCTCAGTACCCTTCCATCCTCCTCCTCAAGAGCTGCGCTCTCATTCGGCGTTACACGGAGTTGTAAACGGCTTTCATTATGTATGGTGAATTCCACTCGTGTATCTGGAGCGCTCCAAAAGAGCTCCCACTTGGAGCGCACATCTGGCGGCAGATCAGGCTCAAAATACTCATCCTCCACTCGTAGATTTGTGGCAATTACGCCTGTTTCGTGGAGGACTCACACTGCTGGTGGTAGCGTGTTACAAGTAACGGCTTTACCGGTAACGCGTTGCTTTTTTTCAGTAACGTGGCAACGTACCTACGTTACTCATTTCGAGTAAGGGGTAACGTAGTTGCGTCACATAATGCATCTTCCCAACTCTTCAAGCAAAATTACTTAAATTGTTTTCGTGTTTCTAGCCGCCGAGTCATATAAATTCTTTCACTCCTCTGACATACTTTCAAGATATTATTTCGTTTTACCACGCAACACAACCACTTTAGAAAGTCTCAACGCCCACGCCCTTTGCCCAATGTCGAATGCCCAACGATCGGCGGGCAGAACCGTAAAAAAGATAAGGAAATTACGTTGTTTCTACATTGACTTGATGTTTCTTGAAATATAGCGCTCATACATGCCTCCAATGTCAAAGCAGTGTAAGCTTTAAATTCATAAATAAAAAGTAACGCAGAGGTAACATGCGTGGCTTTTTATGGGTAACGGTAACGCGTTCCTTTTATTTTGAGGTGACGTAGGTCTGTAACGGCTCCTTTTATTTGAAAGTAACAAGTAACATGTTTCATTATTTTTCCCCGTAAAGCCTACAACACTGGTGTATACTTCAACGCAGAAATCGACTGAAAAAGATGTGACGTTAACTGGCATGCTGCTCAAAATATATTAGAACACTTATCATGTTTGGTAAATACGAATGTTCATTTGATCGTAGGAAACAGCGAGAAAAACAGACGATGACGTAGAGAAAACACACGGGACGATCGCTGACTATCAACTAAACTATTTTAATAGGAAAACACATGAAAACGACCATTCATCTTTGGCAGTACGCCCCCCGTCAGCGTATCACGAGACAATGCATAGCAGCGTGATGGCACGTGTTAAACGCGATAAAAAGTGATAAGATGCTAGTCTCTTGTTTCTGGCTCAGCCAAAAACAAGCTGAGCCAGATTAGCCCTACCATAGAAAGGCGTGTTAGCATGCGAAAAAACCGAATAGTCACGGTTGCACCGTAAAGCATGACACACAGTTCGTATCATGCACCGTTGGAGCAGTGTATAGGATACCTCTCTCGTGCGGGCGGATATACACTGGTCAAACAGGGCGCTGTTTGAACATCCGTTTAAAAGAGAGCTACAGAGTTCATTGAAGGGGTGTGCAACCTCTCATCTTGCGATGCATTGCCGCGACTGTAAGTATGAGCCAAGATTCAGTGAGACCGAAGTTCTGTTCAAGCACTGGGATCAAGTGTCTAGAGAGATAGTAGAAGCATGCTAAATAAAAAGGGCGGGAGCCTCCTGTGTCAGCCAACCGTCTTTGGCACTGTTGGACAGTGAGGTGGCGTTTTTGAATTTGGGCTAGCATCATATCACTTTTTATCGCGTTTAACACGTGCCATCACGCTGCTATGAATTGCCTCGTGATACGCAGACGGGCGGCGTACCGACGGCAAAGCAATGTTTTCGCCATACTTGTAGTGACAATATTTCAAGATTGCGGTGCCCTTGTGAAAAAGGTCTATGGGCCTCCTGCGCTGAAGCTTTGAACAAACTGTGGCGCCCTCGTTTTGGGTAGTGCAAGCTCACCTGGTTGGGACTCCCACTATTGTGGCGCCTTCGCCGGTATTTTCCCCCTTCTGTGTAGTGCAGAAGAACGGAAAAAACACCTTTGAATGTCCGAAATCGGCTAAATTCAGCGCCGCAAGACAATCGAAAGTTCCGGATTCATGCCACCACCGCTAGGGTACGCGTCTCGTATCTCTTAGTGGTGATGTTAGAACATCTGGCGTCCCGACGTTTTAGAGCGCAGCTCTTAGGGGCCCGTTCCCGGCTTGAGCGGCGTCGCCGTCGGCGTCAGCGTAGCCAAGGTCACCCCAAGGTCACGTGACCCCCAAGGTCATGTGACCCCCAAGGTCACTGAACGGTCACGTGACCACCAAGGTCATCCCAAGGTCACGTGACCCCCAGAGGTCACATGACCTTCAATATCACGTCACACCCAAAGTCACGTGGCTCCCCAAGTCACGTGACCCCCCGAGGTCACGTGCCCACCCCGAGGTCACGTGACCCCCTCAGGGTCACGTGACCCCCTCAGGGTCACGTGAACCCCTCCCCCGAGGTCACGTGACCCCTCGATGACGTCATCGTCACTGATGACGTCATCAGTGACGTCACTGATGACGTCACCGGCATCCGCATCGTCATCATCGCTGCTGACGTCATCAGTGACGTCACTTATGACGTCACCGGCATGCGCATCGTCATCATCACTGATGACGTCTCGGTATCCGCATCGTTATCGTCACTGATGACGTCATCGGCATCGTCACGTGACCCCCGAAGGTTACGTGACCCACCCCCAGTACCCTTCCCTCCTCCTCCTCAAGAGCTGCGCTCAAATTCGGCGTTACAGGGAGTTGTAAACGGCTTTCACTTTTTTGTTCTTTCTTCCCCCTTATGTTTCTTTGGGACGCGTGATACGGCGTTTCTTGGTTCCCGCTCTTATCGTCCTTGCTTTGGCCTTTGCTTCAACAACGTTAGCATTTTTCGTTTTTTTATTATTTCCTCGTTGTCGTGTTCCACGCCAAAGCAGGCACGCTTCTATATGTCAGGCAGTTTGAGTCGCTCAAGTTTGTACTATCCAAAACAAGTCCTAACAAGTCATTTTTTGCAGCGCCTCCTGGGCAACGCAGGATGCCTACAGAGGGGATTTACGGAAGGCAGGCGGGCCGTGGGAGAAGGGGCGGAGGAGGGGGGGGGGGGGGGGGTTACTGCTCATGGAAGCCGAGTCTATTGGCAGTTCCGCAACTGAGCTAATCTAGTAACGTTGGGCACTGCACATATGCGTAAGGTTATTTCTGCTTCACCATAAATCCGAAAGGAGCCGAACATTGAGGCGCAGGCATACTGCCGTGGGCCACCCTTGCACTGCACGAGCGCATGTACACAAGCAGCGTAGCACAAGCAGCGTACACAAGCCGCGTAGCATAAAACAAGTGGAAAGGAAACGTTTACCGAATATACGGCGTCTCGCGGCCTCAATATTGCACTAAAAAACATATTTTTCCCCTAAAATTTATTTTTTGGCATGCGTGTCCCAACCAGACTAGTAAAAAAAAATATATTTTTAGTGGTGTTTTAAGTTAATTTCCGCTGTACAAACGTATAAATGGACGCAATTAAGCCACAATGTCTTTTCTGGGAGCTAAGTTATTGCCATATATTAATTCGCAAATTATCAGCGTTTTTTTTTTTTTTTTTTTTTTTTTTTTTATCACTCAAAACAAGTTGGGTTCTTTTAGTTTTGATCTCCTAGTTGGAAATACAAAATTTATTTTCAACGCGTGCAAATACTTCTTGTTTTCACATGAACGATCTTTTTCTAAGCTTGGGAGAATGTATGACCTACATGTTGTTGAATAATACAACATAACCGAACATTATCGGGGTACTTGGCAGCCAGCCTGCTTTTATATATTTTCTCTACTGCTCTGAGCCCTAGCTTAGGCGATCTACGCGCCGGTAATCTTTCGTGAAGCCCAGCGACCTCTTTTGTCTCCGTCCAGCTTCCTTCTATAGAATCGTCCCTACCTGCCAACACAAAGAGAAAAGGGACCGGCAACAGCTGCTAATTGGCTGCCAGGTCTTTCTGGTCGACGTTTATTAAGGCTGGAATGCCGTGGTGTTCATTTTCGCCAACTATCTTAAGCTTTTGACAAGTTCAACAACACATGTACTTAGGTTAATTAGTGGAGCGAATTTCGTATGCTAGAGACTGTCTTAGTTACCGTTACACTAGAAAACCCGAAAACATCATCATTGTCTGATAGGGGTGTGCAGTATTTGAAATAAGTATTTGAAATACTTTGACTATTTCGCATTGTGAAATAAATTACATATTGGCTAATGTATTTGTCAATTGTACTCAAATACTGCCCAGATACAATTTTGGGCATTGTTATTCCCAATCAAATGCGATATTATGCACTATTTTCAATGGGAGTAATATGGAAAGACCATGAAACTTGCTGCGTTTTTTTTTTCTTCTAATAATAAGCATCGAAGAAGGAAAAAAAAAAGAGTATAGAACAAGGAATTAACGGGGTGGGTACAATTACTGACTTTTTGGTTGACTGATTCAATTTTTCAGAGTGGCATTAACGATATGTTCGCTTTAACTGTGACTTTCACATTGAATTTGTGCTGAATTCTTTAAGTTTCCTGACGTTATACCCGCCTATGTTATAACAAAGAAGTGTTATTTTTAGATCTGCCGCTTTCTTTTAAGCGCTTGATATTTGGTATGTATATAAACTCTTTATTTGGGAACGGTCATTTTTAATTTTTTATCCGGGTTTAAATTAAGTCAAAGATGTCAGACGATGGCGAAAAATGTACTTTTAAAGATATTTGAAGATAATCAAATACTCTCGCATTTGTATCTTGTATTTAAACACTTTTCTAAAAAAGAGCATTTGGATTTATAATGCAATACATTTTTGTCGAAGTATTTCGTATTTGTATTTCCATTCATTTTTAAAAGAATTGTTTCCATCCCTGCGTCTAAACAAAAGTACTCCTTTTAGAAACCTGCTTGTCCTTTGCGACAAGACGAATAAAATTTTCCGCTGCCATTTCGTAGATATCGAAAATTTGCGCGGAGCTTTCGCCCAGTAGAAAACTCGGCGTTTGAGCTGCATGGCTCCCGCCTAGAGCTGGTACAGTCTCTCGTGGCAAACGAATGAACCGCGCATGATTTTCTTCTCTTTTCAGTTGATGGTGTCTACCGCAGTAGCCCACTATCCCACCACCAACCCCGCATCTTCACACTGCTAACACTGTAAGTTGATTTTTCTGTTTTTTTCTGCGGCCTTTCTAGACGCCTTGCATTTGACTCTCCTGGTCCTATCCTCATCCGGAAAATACCAAAGAGGTGGGCCGACCGTGACAGTGCCCATTCAATAGACCCTTTCCGGAATTCAGTCTGACCACTTTGATGACTATCATCATCATCTGAAAACGGCATATGTGCTATACTAATGGCGGCCTTCTGTTTACAAATGAAGGAAGAAGTTGAAGATGCTCCTAAGCAGATGATTCGATGCCTTTACATTCTCGACGTTAGCGCGACGTGAAGCAGGAATTGGACGCAAGAGCTGCGTAAGCGTTCATTCCTAACTCGGTCCCAATCACTCGGCTTCAAAGCACCTTGATGTATAGGACTCTATCAAGGCGCCTATATGGGTTGGCGCTTCGTTCCTACTGGCTGCTTTTGTTTTGCCATCGACACAAAAAGAGATTGAAAAATAATTGTAGTGAAGTGCACATCTTCGTTTACCGTTGACCTTTAAGTGACGGTGCCCCATTAAATACTGCAGACCACAGGTTCATTGCCGCCATTAGTATAGTAAAAGATAAACTGCCATTTGAGACACCAGATGGCACTGAATTCCGGAAAGGGTCTATTTCTTCCGGTCTTTTTCCATCGTTTAGGAACACTGTGGAGAAAGAGAGAAAAAAAAATTAAAAAAAAAAAAGGAAACGCAACCTTATGAATTCCGCAAAATTCTCACTCCGACGGCGTCATGCAATGAAACCGGAGTGCAGTGCAGTTTACATTGACGCAATTTCGTCGAATATCCCATCGGGCCAAGCTCGCGCCACTCGGAACGTCCGCATCGGGCAGCGTAGCCCTGACGGAAATGAATACAACCGTACGAAAAGAGAAGGAAGCAACTTTCCGGGCACAGGATCAATATTAAATAATACGAGTGGAGAAAGCGCACAGAGTGTTTCACCGGTCGTAACAGCGAACGTGCGGCAGCAGCCAAAGAGCGCTGGAGATAAAGAAAGAAACAAAACGTTGCTTTTGTTCCCAATGGAGCCCCGGTACAAGGGGGAAAAAAAAGGCTTCTTCGGCAATACGAGTTGGCACGGGCAATAGAGCGTGTAGTGCATCGAGCGAGCGTCGTGTCAGCCTGGGTCGTAGCACGGTTGTTCATGGGAGGCTGTACAGGGAGCGTGCGGAGTCGCTTCCCCTCCCCCCTTCAACGCCGCGATGCCGAAGGAACTAACGTCATAAACACGGTCAAGTGTCGCCAGTCAACCTCCTGCGGAATGCGTCTACGGGCGTCAGCAGAGTCATGTTGCACACAGATGGCTGAACGTTGTTATGCGTGTGACATGTGAAAGTGCGCGTAATAATGTTCCGTTGTTTGTGAGCGACATTGCGTTGTCCCACGTGGCGCCCCCTCACGGTCGAGAGGGCCTCGTTCTGTTCTTCCCCTTCTCCATGTCCCAACTGTGCCCAATGGTCGAGCACCGTCCTCGACACAGTTGCACCTGTTCGGAACGACGGCTTTTGGCCGCTGTCGGCGGGCTCCACTTTCCACGAAGAACCCCCTTTTTGTAACGCGCAGATTCTCTGTTCCGCAGCCTCATGCTAAGTTTTTTTTTTTTTTTTTTTTTTTTTAGAGTTGATGTGTTTCACATGAAGCTCCGTCTAAACAAAGCGCCACCCAAAGAGACGTTCGGCGCCGTCGTGGTGCCGCTTCGTTCCATATTTATTTTCTCGGCGGCCTCTATTCGGAACGAGCCTAATAAATCACTCGCTGTTCAATAGCGCCGCATGCGGGATCGAGGAATCCTCGCCGCGTCTTCGACGCCCGGGTCACTGCTGGCCCCTTCGCTTCAGACACGGGTCGAGAGCCGTCTTTGCCCCTGACTCCATAATGTCCGCGGGGAAGAACTTCGCGGGAAGATCGAGGATTTCATCCATCAGCGCTAGATTCCAGCTGGGACCCGAAGACGGACGACACCGCGACGGAATTTCAATCTAGTTTGCCCGCGTCGAACGAGGGTCCCCGGCTAGATCTCGGACTCACAAAATCTCTCGCTCGAAGCCCCGGGTTAAATGCTCCGCGATGCAAGAAGGATCACTTTCATGACTTATTCCCGCGCATCGGTGGTTCGGCCAGTTGCGGACTGGAGCGACGTTGCTCGTTCTCGGCAGTTGATTGGTTATTCCAGCCGAATGTAGGCAACGAAACGCGTCGCCATGGACACGAGAAGCGTCCTGCTCAATATACAATCTTAGACTACATTTTTTTTCTATGGGAAAAATCCAATCTGCGTTGGCACATTGACATGGAATGCTAGGACTGACGTTTATTATTTAGGCCTGGCAATAATGGAACCTGTAACAGTACGTTATACTAGGTGCGATCTGATTTCATGATCTCCTGGCGCGTCGCCCGTCAGGTTCTTTATAGTGTTGAAACTTTTATAGAGTCACTCGCGTCTGCATTATACAATGTGTTTTACCACAAAATGCGTTGAGCTGGATTTTATGTGAAAAAAACGTCACCCCGTGCTCTAACAGGAAGAAAACGCCTTACACGCAGGCCAAGGCAACACAAGAATGCTTAGTCCATATATCAGGTAATGTACAAGCATCCAAACAGAAGTAATTCCTAGTCTTGATTAACCATAGGCTCTCATAATTAGGTGCAATTAATTGTACTGAGGGAGAGTTACGTTGTGGCGCAGCGGGAATCGAACCACGGACCGTATGATCCGAAGCCCGATGCCTTTGCTCTGAAAGGAAGCTCCAGCGGCAGGACCAAGTACGACTCACGGGAGCCTGCGTAAACACGCTATCGCCGGTGCTTGCAAAGGGCTGCCGAATGACGAAGCATAACTCCCAACGGCATTTCTCAACGTGGGGGGGGGGGGGGGGGGGGGAGGGGGGGGGGGGAGGACCATAATGGGCCCACTACAGGGGCCCTAATCTGGACACTTGGCGAGAAAGACGGCGAGAAATGTGGCGGCTATGATTGGCCGCCGCGAAGGTCAAGTGCGGCGTCGGCCAATCACGGCCGCCAGATTTCTCGCCGACCTTTTCGCCAAGTGTCCAGCTTAGGGCCCCAGCTCATCGGCCGTATGACGCCATGACTTCGCGCAGCATCCAGCTGATACGTATCTGGCGCGCTAAACCTGAAGCCCCTTGATATGTCTGCATTTTCCTTGCAAATAGCGTCAAATGGGCCAAAGCACGAGGCCCGCGCCTCGAGCAGCCCTTGGATACAAATGGCGGCGCAGTATTAAAATGAGTGGCCTTTTTGGAAGCGAATGACGGAGCAAAACTCGCTCGATCGAAGCACGTGTTTTGCGCGTTTGCAAAACAATGGTCTTTGTTACTTGCAAGAAACGTGAAGTGGGAATTGTATCAAGGGGCTTTGGGGCTTTGAATACACCTACTCCCCTTGCGGTCACTTCATCCACTTTGTTTAAGCTTAAACGGGTACAGAAACGAAATGACGTGAGCCCGAGCTCTCTATCCCCTCGTTTCAAAGTCGGCCAGCGAGAATCGCAATGCGTATCGCGCTCGTGACATCAATAGCTCTCGCACGGTCAAGGGTACTGTAGTTGCTAGCCTTGCCGCTTGGTGGTGTCAACGCGTGACAATCTCGCCTAGTAATACCCGAGGACTGTTCGCCCTGAAATTACTGCAAAGGTGCGGGCGAGCTGGACAACAATAAAAGATACATCGTTTATTCTGTCCAGCTCGCCCGGTTGCGGAGAGCCTTGCGTCGTCCCGCAACGCTCTCCGCAACTTGCTACGATACCCGGGACTCTACTGTCAAGGCCATTGGCGCGCAGGCGCAGTAGTGGCATCTTTGTTGTGAAGGGCTTGGCGGAGGGGGAAATGCGGTCTACGAAAACTTCCTATATTCATACCTTGTTAAGTTTCAACAGCCGTTGTTCGAAGTTCTCTTCAATCATCTTCCTATGTTTCCTGGTGAAGATATATCTGCCGCGACGACCGAAGACCCTCTCAACGGATGCGCTGGAGGGAAGAGCGGTGTTGTACCGCACAAAACACTTTCCGTACCAGTTCGTGGTTTCGCAGTGCTTCGACGGACGCTTCCGAATCTTCCGAGTCCTAGGAAGTGAGGCGCTTCACTGTTGCGACCGCCTGTGGGGCAGCGAAAATCGAAAAAAAGAAAAAAAATCCCTCGTGGACAGATTTTCCGGCACTGTCATTGTAGGAGAAGCAGCAGCGGAAGCGACAGTTTCGCCAAACACAAACCCATGTTGAAAGGGAAGCTGAAGCGGTTCTGTATTTGAGAAAAAGAACACTGCAATCGTCTTCATTTGGCCTCCAGAATCACGAATGTTGAGATTATTTTTCAATTTGGTGCATGTAGGCTGCAGAAAATTTCGAAGTACCTCTGAAGCCCTTCCTTCCCGGAGCGTGACATATATATCCGGAATTTTCAGAATCTCCGCGCTCTCGCGCATGTTCAGCGTATATCAAAGCTGTGCACGCGCACTCTTGCTATTTTCAAAAAGGTCCGAAAAAGACGTCACGACTGGTGTCAGTGCCAGGAATATTGGTGACTCCAGCGACTTATAGGGGACGCCACTATTGGGCGAATATGTCGGTCTAATGCAGGTCGTGGCGTGCCATGTGCCAGCTCAACGCACTATGCTGGGGCATCAGACAGGGAGCATTGGACTCAAAATGGTTTGCCCCGCTTTCTGTCCTCCACGTTTCGAACCTGCGGTGATGTGTTGGCGTAAACGAGCTTTTCGTGGAAGCGATGAAAGAGCTGCTTATATACTGTCCTTCCACGATGATGATGAACGTTGATACACGCGGTATGTCTGGTTCACGCGGTATAGGTTACGTTCAGAGCAACCTGGGTCACAAGCTGATACATACAGTTACGACAGAGTCACCGAGACAACTGTTCTATTGCGCAAACCAGCGACAACATGTAATCATGAGAGCCACAAGAGACGAGCAGAAATCGCGAAAGGACCTGTTCCGGCCAG